TTTAAAAAAAAAAAGCCAGGGGAGTCATTGCTAATTTAAAGGAGAAAGCTGCTGATAAAATGATACAACTTTTATTTGTAAAAAAATTCCTGACCTTGGAGGTGGGTTCAAACATTCACTCAAACTATTCTAGTTTCTGGAAATTCAACATATGACCTGCTTTGGAATCTGCTCAATGTCAGTCCTATTTACTGGAGCACAAATGGTTCTCTCTTTCATATACACTCAACTGGATTGTTGACCTGCTATATAAACAACACAGTGAATGGGATAACGATTGAGGTATCACAATTAATACATTAAGCAGAAAAGTGAAGAATTGCTTTAAAATATGTTCATTCTTAATATATTCTGAGAAATTCAAGTTACTTATAGAACACAAGGCCCTGTTAGGCACCACTATATAGCTAATTTTACCCATTTTGCTGGAAACCATGGACTGCGGCGCACAGATTTTGGCTGTGTCCAAAAGAATAGGAATTCTAGCATAATGTCCAGGAACAAATCTGGGTGATATCTCTCTCTCTCTCTCTCTCTCTCTCTCTAATGTCTTTCTGCTCTGCATCTCCCTCCTAATAAGCTATTAAGGACATTTGTTCCTTTGCTTATAACAGCTGCCAGACTAAATTGGCTCAAAAGTGAGATCTCCCCAGACACTCTGCCTAATGGAGACAGAAAATTTAGAAAAGCAGCAGTTAAGACCCTATAGCAATATGGAACCCACTCCAGAAGTATGAGGAGATGGTCAATATGTTCCACTTAGTTTGCACGACTTCCTCTGTGTGATAAAGAGCTATACTTTCTAGCCTTTCATGAGCCCCCAGGGGAAATGTACAGTTAATTTGATTATTTAATTGTAGGTTGAGACTGAAAACAGCCCTAATGTTTTTTGATATTTCCCCAAGTCACCAAAAATGACGTGCCCTCAATGTTTAAATAGGGAAAATGTGGAGTAAAGTGGTATGTGCCTCCTTTTTCTATGCTTTTCCCTGCCAGGAGCAGTGAGAAGCTATGTCTTTTCATACTTTAAAACCGCTAGTCACAAATGGGAATTTTCAGTATGAACATGGATACCATTGACTTCATATAGGACCAGAGTCAGGTAAATGCTGACTACTTTTCAAAAGTGCTGTATACAAAATGTAAACGATCTGTTGACACACTCACGTTATAATGAAATGTATAAAGTACTTAGGACAGTGGCCAGCTAGAAAGTTTGATTATATAATTACAGATAGCCCTGCCATTTGAATTGTACCTAAAATTATCCTTCATTTGTAATTGCATCGTTGATTGTAATGGTACAAGAATAAGTGACAAAAAAAAGTACTGAGAATTTGCATCTTTCCCCATGTTACTGTACATAAACAGATGTTTTCCAGAACTCTTACATATAAGATTGTTCAACTTCTTTTTCCTAAGTGAATTTTAAATGGAATAAGGCAAAAAAATGTAATCCTGCTAAAATTGTGCAAATCCTGGTTCTATTTCATCCTTTTCCATGTCCTGTACAGTAAATTGGAAGAAAACTCAGACATGTTGCTTGTATCATATTTGGATAGTATGTTGGGGGTTTTTTCCCCACAGAAATTCATAATATCTGAGCAAGAAAATTGAATTAGTATCAACACAACAAACCTCTCAGTTGATTATACTCTGAGGAAGGAGTGGATTAAAGCTAGTGGGGCTTGGATCCATCATAATTTCAGAAAGCACTGTAAAAATTTCAACCCACACACTTAAATTTTGTCATAGCTCTTTTCTGAGCAACTCATCACCTATGGCAAAGTAGAACAGTCCTTGCTTGCCACCTGCTAAACATGTTGTTACACATTTAAAACTACATTAATTCATTTGGTTCTTAGAGTAACACAATAGAGTTCTGTGTAGTTATTCTGGATTAATATTATTGTAAATGGGACCAGAAGCTGGCCCAGTGAGGCTAGGTCTACACTGCACAGTTATTTCGGAATAAGCTATTCCGAATAGTTATTCCGAAATGTGCTATTTTGAAATAGCACATCTACACTGCAGGGAATCCTTACAATTAGACCGAGGCAGACTTCCCTGATGTAGATGTGCTATCTCGATTTAGAACCTCAGAAGGAATAACTTAGAATGGTCCTGGTGAGGGGCTATTTTGAAATAGCAGAAGTGGAGCGTCTACATATGGCTTATTTCAAAATATTTATTTCGTAGAATGAGGTTTACAGAAGTTGGAATAAGCCGTCTGTTATTTTGAAATTATTTTGAAATAATGGAATTGCTGTGTAAATGCTCACATAGTTATTTCGGAATAATAGTCGTTATTCCAAAATAGCTGTGCTGTCACTGAGAGTCACTGACTTAGCAACTCTTTGGAAATGACACCTCCCAGACATGGCTATAGTTTGCCATTATAAACTTTCAGTTCATAACTGTACCATCACTATACATGCTAAGGTTCCATCAGACTAATCTCTTCATTTTGTTTACACCAGAGACATTCACTACCTTCCCTGAAGTGTGTCTGAATGACTCTGGCTTTTTGTTGCTTCTGACTCCCCCCCCACACCCAATTTATTCAGTGCCAACATTTCCCAAGATTACTCTCAACCCAAACATGAATTTTGGTGGGGGTGGAGGAGGGAAAAGGGAAGAGAGAAACCAGGCCCTCGTTGCTGGGATACTAACTCCCTGCTGGAATAGGACTACTCAACTTCTGACAGGAAGGCACTATCCTCTCTTGTGCACCCATAGTATCATACCAGAGAATCAAAGGGTGCCTGATCAAAATGAAAAGGGCAAGACAATTCAGAGCATGTTAGCAAACCCTTTTCTCTCCATTCTGCTCATCTGAGGAAGTGTCTTCCCCATAAAAACTCATGGTACTATGTATTTGTTAGTCTTTAAGGTGCTACAGGACTACTTGTTTTTTAATGAAGAATACTAGACCATGCCCATGTATTGTTATCAGAGATAGCTAGCTGTAGTAGATATTTAAAAACAGAGGTTAAAACTGTAATCACATTGATACCAGAGAAAAAGCAGGACAAGCAGAATACAGCAGGCACAGCAGAGCCTTGCTGTGAAGTAGATATCTGCAAAGTACTGCACACCTTTCATTTGAGCAGGTTTGATTGAATAGCTCTTGGAATCCAAAAAAGGCATTGGGAACTTCAGGCAAAAAAGGGACACCACTGGGATCACTACACTCTTCAGGGAAACGTACCCGATGCCACTTTTAAAGTGCAGAGGTAACAGGTGTGATTTCGGAGCCTAAGGGAAAGGGAATAACTACATATTGAACTTGGACACATGTCAGGACTCAAGAAACAAGAGGTTGGATCTGGATCAGATCCAGTAGGCCTTTCAGCAGATAAAAAGGTCAAAGCTATCTAGTATATGCATTTGCTGGGAGTACCTTTGCCAGATCTGAAGAGGAGCTCTGTGCAGTTCAAAAGCTCGTCTCTTACACCAACAGAAGTTGGTCCAATAAAAGATATGACCTCACCTCTCTCTAACATTATTTGGAGCAGATGGCCTTGGCAGCACAGAACACTGTTGGTGGTTAGCCACAAGCCACTTAGGAATATAGGTGGATATGAAAAAAAATCACCCTGAACAAAAACAAAGGAAAGACTAGTATGGCAGCAACTTTCTCACACAGACACCCACAAAACAGGAACATAAAATACTATCTGTGTGCAATATTGTCAAGTTAACATTCCCGTAGGAACCTTGACTTTCGAATGTCTTGGGTTTTTGAATAATTAGTTTTTCAGGCTTAGTGTTGCATTATTGTAAAATTTTCCATTTAACTTCTATAGTATGCTTTGAAGAAGCAAAAACCAAGCAAGGGAAAAAAACAAAAACCATAAAACTCCAGTAAGCAATATTATTAACTTGTCTTTGAGAAAGTGACTGACCTATCTCCAACATATGGGCAGTAATTTATAATCATATTTCTCAGTTTATATGTGTAGATTCACTGTTCATGTTAAAGACACAGACAGGCAAAATCCTTCTTTATGCTGGTGAAAATCCAGAGAAACCCACTTTATTCATGGGAGTTCCCTCTGATGTTTTCTGTTGCTTCTGACTTTTCCCAGAAAAAAAATTCTTTGATGCTGAGATTTTCTAGGATTACTATCAGCCCACATGCGAGGTGTTTTTTGGGAGGTGGATAGAAATCTGACCAAGATCTATTTAGAAGCTTTTTTTCCAACTATGAATTTTAGCTTTCCTTTTTTCTTTTTGGGATAACTCAAATGGTTTTACTTTCAAAGTTGAAATTTTCCCTGGGGCTAGATAAGGGATAGTCCCTTCTTTTAGCTTCAGGAGAGGAATCTTTTTCTGCATTAAGAAAAACTTCATTCCACACCTCTCATTCTGTAGCCATTTAAACACATGAATACCTGCATACATTCAATTCAATGGAACGATCCACAAGTATAAAACTATGCAAGTATTTAAATATTCCTAAGATTGGGGCCTTCTATTGTTCTATTACACCCTTTAGTGGTCTTTTACAGCTTTGGTTATCCTCGACTAAGACATCTGTTTTAATTAATGGTGTCATGCTTTTCCTAAAATGTAGTTTAGTCCTTCCTTGATCCCAACATAGCAGTATTTTACTTGAAGCTTCAGAAAAACTAATAAAAAAAGCAGTTTCCCAAATAAAGGCAGCAGTCCTGTAACAGTCAATGTATCTCAACTTTCCTTCTGACACTTTCTCTAAGCAAATCTCTGAGGGAGATAGTATATTCTCTTTATCCACATGACCTGTAGCATAAGACTGTGTGTCCACTCATTACAAAGACTGGTCTATTTCCTTGGCATGTGGAAAAACACTTATGGAATAAATGAGAGTTAAACCTGAGATTTTTTTTTATATATAAAAGAAGGGAAGTAGACTACATTTACCTTCAGCATTTTTTGCTGGTTTAGACAAACCCAACCCTCACTAGACTTTTATTGGCTTTGAAAAGTTGTTACTCTTGATTGGTCAGTTTACCTGTTTGAGTCAATAGATTTTTAAAGACAACGAAATGCAGCTAAGTCCTAGCCAGCGTACACCAGATTTAAGCTGATTTGAAGAAGCGGAGACAGCCTATTTAAAAGCTTCTTAGCATAAACAATACCTATTTTGCAGGAAATCACTTCAGCTGCTTACTTTTTGTCTTTAAAGGAAACTGCTTTAGGAACTTACTGTGCTGTCTTATCTCAGACAGAGGTATGGCCAGTAGTGCACTGCAAATCGTTGGACTGGTAGTTGGAGGCATTGGCTTAGTTGGGACTTGTGCAATCACCGGGATGCCTCAATGGAGAGTCACTGCTTTCATTGAAAACAACATCATCGTGTTTGAGACCATTTGGGAAGGACTCTGGATGCACTGCATCAGACAAGCCAACATCAGGATGCAGTGCAAAGTCTACGACTCTCTCTTGGCACTCTCACCTGATCTACAGGCATCCAGAGGACTAATGTGTTCTGCTTCAGCACTCTCATTTCTTGCTTTTATGATAGCTGTTATGGGCATGAAGTGCACTCAGTGCACTGAGAATAACGAGCGAATCAAGGGTCACATTCTGTTGGCAGCTGGAGTTCTTTTCATCCTATCTGGTATTGTTGTGTTCATCCCAGTATGTTGGGTTGCCAATACTATCATCAGAGACTTCTACAATCCAACTGTCAATGTGGCACAAAAACGAGAACTCGGGGAAGCCCTGTACATAGGCTGGGTAGCTGCCTTCTGCCTCGTTGCTGGGGGAGCAATATTCTGTAGCTTCTGCCATTGTAACGAGAAAACCAGAAGCTACAGGTTCTCAGCACCTTCACATCAAGCATCCTACAAAACTCATCACGTGCAAAGGAAAACTGAAAGTTCATATTCCAGAAGTCAGTATGTCTAGTTGCTTTTTGGTCTTTTAGCTCAGCAAGTCAGTCTTTGTGAATGGACTTCAACATTCACAGTGAACTACAAGTAGATCCAAGGAAACTTTATTTGTACTTCATACCTAAACCACAGTAGCCATGCATAAATCCTTGGATTTTAGTTAATTCTATGAACCCTGTCGAGCAGACAATGTATTACATTTTAATCCCAAAAGAAAAAACAACAACTTTTTACCATGTTTTAAAGCTTCAATTTGTTTTAAAACTATTTAGCATTCATGTAAAAGTGAATGTTAAAAAGAAATCAAATAGTTATTTGGAAAGAATTTTAGGTTTTTTTGGGGAGGGGAGGGGCTATGTTACATATGACAAATTACAACAAAAGGGCTTAAATGAGTTTATTGTTATATAAAATACAGATTGATTGTGATGAAAATAATGGATCAAACAAATTATTGTCTGGGGAGGGAGGATAAGACAGCAAAGATAATAAAGAAACTGTTTTAAAAAAACAATAACTAAGGGATAAATACATTGTAAATAAATGGTAATGTGACAGATTAGCTCTGCAGTGAGAGGGAGGCCAATATCTCTGAAAATAAACTTAAAAAACAAATAGTCTGGTAGCACGTTAAAGACTAACAAAACATGTAGATGGGATCATGAGCTTTCATCTGAAGAAGTGGGTTGTGCCCACAAAAGCTCATGATCCCATCTACATGTTTTGTTAGTCTTCAAAGTGCTACCAGACTATTTGTTGTTTTTTAAGTTTATCCTGCACAAAAAGAGTGAGAGAGAGAAAGGCCTGACTAGTTTGCATTCCTGTGACAGAATTAATGTTCTGGATCTTTACTGTACAATATCTTCTTTTTTCAATATGGGTATTTAATATAGTCCTCATACTACAATGACTCCTGTGCGGGAAGACTCCTTCATCTGTACCAAGACCCACTGATTTCAGTGAAGAGGTATGCCCGTGTGGAATTGAGGGCAGAACTAAGGCCTGAAGGGATAAAAAGAAGGATGTTTCAATGTTTTATTCACTGTTCATTTACAAAATGAGAAGATTTCTAATAGTGTCACTGTATACCCAATTTTGGAAAATAAGGAAATAGGAATTTAATCCAATTGGATTCTACAGAAACTAATCCAATTGGATTCTACATTCCTTATCAAAATTAACAGAGAATGGTAATAGATGTTTTTAACCCAGCAGAGGTGGTGACCTCCTGGCTCCAGTGAAATTAGTGGAAGGTTTACCTTCTTACTGTTTAGGTTTACCTCAACTACAGTGGAATCAGAATTTTAACTATGGAGTCTGAGAGAGATCCCTATTTTAGAATTTGGATTGATTAAATATTCTGCGAAAAGGTTACAATGCAATCCACTATCCTTAGGATATTTCTAGCTGAAAAATATCAGGGACCAAATTTTTCTTTAAATTACACAAGTACATATTCCAAAGAGTTAAAGAAGTCCAAATCCTTATGCTGTTTTACAAGCAACCTAAAATTGTAAATAGACATGCCTTTTAAGTTATGTCTAAATACATATATTTCTATGTAGCCTCATTATTTTAAAGCAGGGGCTCTCAAACTTTCTAATACCATGACCCCCTAAAATTCTAAATGAATTTGTGTGACCCTCCACCCTCACTGTGCCACGAGTAAAGGGGGAGCTAGGGCGTTGGTCAGGGAGGCAGGGCTGGCCGGGGGAGATTGGGCAGGGGAACTGGCGGGGGGGAGAGGGAGGGT